TTGTTGCAATCCGAAGTATCCGAACTTGCATGCCTAATTAACACACTAGTAATCTATGTTTAGTTTAAACAAAGATTAACACACTAATAATCTATGTTTAGTTTCATATGCTAGACTTTTCAAAGTCAAAGTCTATCAATAATACTACACTAGACCTCTTCTTGAAAACGCAATTCCCAAATTAAACAAGTCAAAATCAGATAAAACCTGCCAAATTTTCTCCGACGAATTTTCGTCTCTCTCCGGTCGAAAGATGAAGCTTTCTCTCTTCCTCATCTGTTTCCTCGTGCTCTTGCCTCTCTCCCTACAGGATCCGAGCCCGAACCAGGTCAAGGCACCGACCCGAGCCCACGCGGAGCTCACGAACCATGGGTTTCCGATTGGGCTGCTTCCTTTATCCGTAAAGGATTACTTCATCAACAAAACCTCCGGCGAGTTCTCTCTTTTCCTCGACGGGACTTGCAAAATCACGCTTCCACCTGACAACTACCTCGCCACTTATTCGAAACAGGTAACGGGTCGGATTTTCCAAGGTAAGATCGCTGAGCTTCAGGGGATTCGTGTCCGTGCGTTTTTCCAGTGGTGGTCCATTACTGGGATTCGATCTTCCGGGGATAATCTTGTGTTTGAGGTCGGTATGGTGACGGCTAAATACCCATCGAAGAATTTCGACGAGAGTCTTGATTGCGAAGGGAGACGAAGATCGTCTTCTTGATTCAATTGACCAGGTTAGAATCTGGGTTCTATAAAGTGAACAGTTTTATTCTTCTGTAATTATGGATTTGAGATATTCAAAGTGAGTTGGGTTTCTCTGATTTTGGAGATTTCTTTGATTGATGTTGATGTGGAGTCTGATTGAATGTGAAAGTCTTTTCCTTTGAGATGGTGAGGTTTTGTTTAGGGTTTTTGTCTATTTGTCAATCGTATTGGTTACATTATGTGGGAATATCCATTTACTAAGAGATCAATCTTATTGTTTGGATCTATCTCTGCAATTGTGTGTAGAGTTTTGAAGTTACATAATCCAGTTACTAGCTTTGCAATGAATTTAAATCTTGGAAGTTAGTAACCTGTAAATCTTCTTGGTCATTGTGGTCTTCTTTGTCCATATTGGTAAATACACTAAGCTCTGTTAGAAAGTTTTCTGCCTTACCACTGATTTTTGTTTGCTGCTCTTCCTTTTCGGCTTTTTTTTTGCCAGCATCTTCCCGGCACTATTGGTCTGATCTTTGCATAGGTTAACCTTTTATGGCCAACTATAATGCTAATCAAATCTTTAGTTGGTGATGAAAACTTGAATGCCTGGTGTATTGATTCAGTAATTGCCATGTATCTATTGCTTAAGTTAATTGTAACTTTTTGTATCTTAGATCATGATGTTACGGTTTTCTTCAGAACCTAAATGTTATATAGAATAGATTGCTTTCAATAGGGACCTCGCGCAATCACTCTGTTTTACTGTATCGATGTTTTCGCGCTAAGATGGTTTGTTTGGTTATTGACGAGGGTATGTTTTCTCGTCTACATTGCATGCAGATCTGTGAAGGCAGGAGGAACAAGTGAAAAATGGTTTGTAATATATTATTATCCATTCGATAAAACGAAGCTTGTAATGTAAAAACCGCATCTAAACCACGACTCTATTGCTGTAAATTTTCTGCAAACTAGGGGTTTAATGGAGGGTTTAGGAGGCTTGTAAGTTGTAAACAAAATATGGTTTGATATGTGATATTAGACTGAAAAGTAGCACCCCTTTTGTTGCTTGGCTCCTGTCTCTCGCTTACTTCCGTTTGGGATACAAACCATCGTTAATGGAAGATTGTTCTTACTTGTTAATAACTTCAAAGAATTTTTGAGAATTTGAAACTATAAACACCAAAATGGAATTTGGAACTATAAACACAAACAGGACTAGGAAGCATTACTCCTCTTTTTGTTCCATATTCAAAAATACGACCGATACGACTCGTTGGTATTCTGTGTGCCTCTCTTGTTACCTTTTTTGAATGATTCTGTTCCTCGGATACAATTCGAAATTTTTACAGCTAAATCTCAAATTGTGGAAACTCTTCCATGGCTTCATATCGCCGTGTTCTGCAAAAGACCTTTGAGAGTGTCTTGGAGCTTATGCAGAACCACCTATATGGGATGGATTTAACTTTAGGACCGGAATGTTAGTTTGTAATTTTACAAGAAAGGCAATATTCATTATTCAGAGTCAGTAGATTGTTAGCTTTCAGTGGTGTTTTTTCCTTTCAAAACTTCTGTTTTATGAACAAAGTTTGTGTTCTTACATTAAAAGTATAGTTTTGTTAGCTTTGAAAAGTAAATACAATCTCACAGGGTTCCCAATATTTCAAAACCGTCACTACAAGAGTACACGTGACCTCATTAACTTACCTTTTTATACATTTTCAAAAAGATTAACACTTCATTAATCACTCCCCCTCAAAAAAGCAAAATAAATTGTCAACGTACACATGTTTTAGCTGTATCAAAAGTGTCCTTTATTTTTGTCTACATGACAACGTCATTTCAAAGACAGATATGAACTCTAAAACATTTTCTTTTATCACAGAAACTCCATAAAATTAGAAGTTGTTTTTTCCTTTTTGAGGGGAGACTTCTTCTTACCACACATTTAAAAATAGCAACTGCTAAATATAAAACTCAACTTAAAAAAATTAACCTATAAAATACGTAGAGAGAAAAGCTGATTCTTCAGGCATCATAATAATCCAAAATAAGCCTGGGATTCAATTTTCTCATTTCCCCAACCAAAACAGGGG